TCTGGAAAGAGAGAGCTCTTTGTCTGTCGTCTTCTGGAGACTAGAGCAAACCTCGCTCCACTTGACCTCATCCTGGAGTAAAGCAATGGCGATCATTGGTTGTTGGCCAAGCATGAGGAACATTGAATTGGAGACTTGAATTGATTAGAAATATTCATTTATTATATATATATATATATATATATATATATATATAGAGGAATGACCCTGTCCAGCCGGAGGGACAGGATCTTCCGTCCGGCCGCCGCCGTTTGGGGCGGTTCCCGGTGGAGTTTTTTGATGAAATTTTTATGGAATGTTCCTCATCAAGTCTAGTTTATCCACAAAAAATTTCAGCTAAAAATTCGATCGGGAAGGCAGTCAAATTATTTTTTGAAGATAACTGCTCCAACTTAAACATATAAAACGCAGTTATGTTTCAAAAAATTATTTGACTGCCTTCCCGATCGAATTTTTAGCTGAAATTTTTTGTGGATAAACTAGACTTGATGAGGAACATTCCATAAAAATTTCATCAAAAAACTCCACCGGAAACCGCCCTAAACGGCGGCGGCCGGAGGATCCTGTCCCTCCGGCTGGACAGGATCTTTTCCGTATATATATATATATATATATATATATATATATATATATATACATATATATATATATATATATATATATATATATATATATATATATATATATATAGGGTTAAGATCGGATACAAAATATGCTTCCGATACAAAATGCAAATTCATCTCATCCGTCCAAAAATACAAAATTGAGGGTAGGGATTGGTTGGACCACTAATTACCACTAATTAAGTGGGAGTTTTCCCATCTTAATTAACTATATGCACGTAACTCATGGAGTTAGTTAGTAGTTTTCCTATAATTTCTCTCAAATCCACCGTAGCTTTATAAATAATGGATGACCATGATTAATTTGCACTTTGTAAATTAAGATGACTTTGTATGTGATCCTAAATATATATATATATAAGTAGTAGACAATTTACATTTTGATTTGACTCAAATTACATTTGAATATACATGAAGTAACAAAAGGATTTGACTAAAGTTACATATCTATTAATGTGAGTTACATGTCAACTTTGCTCAGCAAGTTACAACTTTCTTACACGTGATTTACATTTTGCATAATACGAGTTACACCTCAATATACTGTGAGTTACACAACACAATAAACCCCTGTTATTTAAAAGGAAAATCATTTTCGTAAAAAATCATTTTTATAGCACTGATATTAAAAACAAGACATATACACTTTATGTTAAGTAGTTGGCAATTAGATTCCTTTTTTTCATTGAAATCAATATTTTATTTCTTATGTTATGTATTGAACTAGATACATTTCGACTAGACTTGAGTTTCATTCATCAACAACGTGAGTTACATTTCTTTACACGTGAGTTACACCATTCTGCTACTAGAACAAGAGAAAAATAAAAAAGAAGTATTGTACACCCGTGTACTATTCACGCGAGATTTTTTTTAATTAAAAATCCCTATCGCTGCAAAACTGCGTCGTTTTGGATGAGGAGCACGGTGCTCACCGTGGGATGATCCACGGTATATGAACTCATTTTTTTCTTCACTAAGCTTATTCTAGTTCCAAACAGATTCTTAAGTAGTTTCCGTATGTCTTTAATTTTGCTTCACTACAATTTTCACACTTTAAGTCTGTCAAATATGGTTTGGTTATGCATGATCCGGTCTAATATACTACGTATTATCTACGTACGTACGGTCAGATTTGATGTTCGCCTTAAATCATTTCAATTGAAAATATATGAACGTAAAAGAAAATTGGAAGCGAGGATTATATATACTGCAACTAATATATCTATATAAGATATTTGCATGTATCCAATTTATTTATTTTATATTATTTAGATTAGAAAATTATGAATGTAAATAACCTAGAACCATATAATACAAATAATTGTATTTGATTTTCTTTTTCATATATTCCTATGTACAACTAAGTGACTAACCCTAAGCACTTTCTTGGATCCAAAGATTTAAGGAAAGGAAAATAAGTTTACATCTTTGCATAGGATCATGTCATTAATGTAAGAGTACACGTTATTAAAAAAGCTGATTATTGTTTAGATTATAGAAAACATTTTCCTTAAATAGTACTAAATAATCACTTCATTTTAACCCCCAATTTAATTAATTAATCTAATTAATTAGTCCTAGTTTCCCTGCATAATTAAGTTAGTCTGTTGGTGGCAAGTCAATCTGTGTGTGGTGGCGGCAACAAACTCAGCTCCAGTGGCACATAACTCCGTGGCGCAGACAAAAAAAATACATTGTCTGCTCATGGACAAAAAACTGGCGTGTATATAGGTCGGAGTGTGTACAAGAAGCAAAATCTGTGTTTACATTAGACATGTAGTGGTTAACAATTTAACATGTATCTATAAGTGCGTAGAGATTCATGCATGTGGTACACCTTACAAATGGTTAATTAACAAAATCACTTTCTTAGTTACCAAAAGAAACGTTTCACAAACCTATGAACTTATAAAGTTATGTCTCATTACGGTGCGTGTACCAAAGAAAAACATGCGGTGTTTGGTTACGTTTCACACGAAATAAAGACTATGCAAAGGGTTCACCTTTTCTGAAATTTTCCTCTCATCTAATATGATCAGAGCTGATGATTTCGTCTAAAATGGTCTATTTTATGGAGTATGTTTTACTATTCTCGAACACCGACTCATCTGTTTAAACCTAATATGATCTAAATTGATTTAATATAGAATTGAAATCAGACCAATAATTAAAAACATTGAATATCATTTGGTTGTATACTCTATATTGTTTTTATTCCCTTAAAAATCATTTGTGACATGTACCGGGCCATGTAATAAGATACGAAGTAGTTATTACCAAAAATACCTTGTATAGTAAATTTAAAGAAACTAATCACATATTTATGTAAAATAAAAAAGAAGAAATTTTTCAAATATATAACTGAAATAAAGTTTATTAAAAAAATATGATTAAGGTTATTATAGTACAATGTCATAATCACCTATCTAAGAGTAAAAAATCTAACATATATTACGTATTATTATGACTAAAGATATTACTATAATCTCTATATTCGAGATCATATTTTTATTAAAAGCATTTATTTTAATTATAAATATATAATTATTTTCAAAAAAAGAGTATAGATTACAAATGTTACAAACTCTAGCATAATACTTTCCATGCAAAATTATTATACGGAGTATTTGCATATGAAATGGAAAATCAAATTCAACAATTTGTTTGGACGTCATTTTTCCAATACTCCAATAATATAAAAACAAATTTGCTTTAATATGAGTAAAACATGACAAATTATAAAAATAAGATCATCGTTGATTTCTTCCTAATAATATAACTCATAACAAATTAACCATGAATTTTGTCCATGTTTGGCTGGTACAATTTCTATGAAATGAAATCAATAAAATGGATATTGGCAACACCAATTTTACACTTAGCATATGATCGCCTGACATGCAAAACTTTAATTTACATCCAAATATGTGAATTACCAACATGAGCCGAACCAATTGAGGATGTTTTTAGTGAGAATGTTTTTATTCCTAGATCAAACCACAATTAAACAAATCATATTCGACATATTAGACTTCAAGAGGATGACAAATATAAAATATAAAGATACCATACATTTATTGGACCATACCAGTCAAGACTAAATCAGACTTAAACAGACTAAATCAAAACAGACAAAAAAATTCAGTCTAATTAAAAAATTTTAAGTGATGTTTATACATTATCCAATCTTTCTTAATGATGCAATATTAATTAACTTATTGTTTCATTACCACCCCTAGGGGTGGTTCGGTATGGTATACCTTATATTTTTTCTCATACCTTTGCCATACCAAAACTTTCGGTATGCAAAATTTGCATACCTTTACCTTACCGAAGTTTCGGTATACCGCATTTCGGTATACCGAAGTTTCGGTTCGGTAACGGTACGGTATCGGTAAATTACCGTGCATGTCTCCCAATACAAAAAATTATCATTGACTAACGAAATATACTAAATCGTTATTACTAGCGACATATTAAATCTATTATTAAAATGTTACGAAATACAATTAATAATCTATTCACGTCAATTCAATATTGAAGAATAACTATTATTAGTATATTTAAGGAGTTCAACATGCCACATATTAAAAAGTTACACATTCTCCTAAAATAACTTAAACAATATAGATATAATTAAATCAATAGTGATCTCTAACAAAAAAAATAAAACTATTCAAACAATATGGATATAAAATCATTTATTCCTAATATGATATTGTGTATTCGGTCATTTTTATAATTTTTTAAAAATTGAATAAGACTTTCGGACAAAGTTGTGTGTCTCGACTCGTGGAATCCCTATGTAAATACACTTGTCACATAAGTGTATCTCTCTTCACTCGTCACCTACTTAGCGGCTCAGCCATCACGACTTGCAAGCTCTTGGAACAGGATGGACTTGTTTCTTGACATTTGTACATTACTCATTAGTCATTAAGGTTAGCGAAGTAGAAGCCTATAAGGTTATAGTGGGTTTGAGAAATTGGACCTTTATTTTTGTATTTTTGTATTTGTAACCAACTTAAGTATTAATTTTGGGCTTTAAAATTGTAATGGATTTCTACAGTATATTAGAATTAAAAGTAATTGTTGAGTAGAGTCGGTACGGTATTATACCGGTATACCGCGGTATTTGAAAACATTTACCATTACCGTACCGAAATAGATCGGTACGGTAAGATACCGTACCGAAAATGACGGTATACCAATATTTCGGTATTTTCCGGTATTTTTCGGTATGATAAGTGCGGTATACCGATATTTCGGTATTTTTGCCCACCCCTAACCACCCCACACACATCCTAACAATAAAACCAAAGCATGGAGTCATTGAGTATTAATTGATCCCTCCATTATATTCATCATAAGTAGAAGAGTTAGTCCATAGTTTGAGGTCAAGCAAAACCTTACGTTAACTAAGATTCGCGTGTCTATTGTTCTTCCCTCTCAGCACTTGAATTTCTATCATTTGACGACTCATTCCCCCCTTCCGTTCATTCCGTCGGATCTGATCCATCTTTTTGGGAAAACTTTTTATTCTTCTCCTTCACCTTCTTAGGGACGAAACTGTATATATACATATCTATTGTGACAAAGTTAGGAGACGATTAAGTTGTTTATGCGATTAAATTAAACGAGTTATAATAAAAATTAACCAAAATGGCCTCTCCCTTTCCGTTGATCTTCTTCATCGCCATAATTTCCGTTTCAATCTTGTTCGTGCTTCCGGTGTCTTCCACCTCCAGAAACGGGCTCAAACAGACGAGCAGAGGGTTCCGGGCGACTCTCCGGCACGTCGATTCCGGCAGAAACTTGACCGGAATCGAACGCCTGAGACGCGGAATGAAGCGCGGCAGTTACAGACTCCACAGGCTCAGCATGGCGGGCGGGGCGGAGCGATCCGACTTGAAGTCGATGGTACACCCCGGCTCCGGCGAGTTCCTGATGGAGCTCTCCATCGGGACCCCGCCGTCGCCGTTCGAGGCGATCGTGGACACGGGGAGTGACTTGATATGGACTCAGTGTAAGCCATGCCGGAGTTGCTTCCCGCAGAAAACCCCGATTTTCGACCCGGAGAAATCGTCTTCCTTCTCCCGCCTCCCCTGTTCCGACAAGCTCTGTTCCGCGCTTCCGATGCGGCTGTGCGGCGACCGCGGCTGCGATTACAGCTACTCTTACGGCGATTACTCCACCACAGAAGGCGCTATGGCGACGGAAAAGTTCACATTTGACAACAAAGCTTCGATCAGGAAGGTTGCTTTTGGCTGCGGCAACGATAATGAAGGGTCTGGATTCAATCAGGGCGCCGGCCTGGTGGGTCTCGGCCGCGGCCCGCTGTCTCTGGTTTCCCAGCTCGAACAACCCAAATTTTCTTACTGCTTAACCGCCATCGACGGCGGCGGAAAGAGCACGCTTTTGATGGGGTCCCTAGCCGGGGGCAAAACCGGGAATTCCTCAAAAGTCACTACCCCTCTGGTAAAAAACCCCTCTCAGCCGTCGTTTTACTATATTACCCTCGAGGGGATAACCGTCGGCGAAACTCGGCTCCCCGTGGCGGAGTCCGCGTTCAAGCTGAGCCGCGACGGCAGCGGCGGGATGATAATCGACTCCGGCACCACCCTGACGTACCTACAGACGGAGGCGTTTGCGGCGCTGAAGAGTGAGTTTAAGAAGCAGACGAATCTGGCGGTGGACGAATCCGGGTCGACGGGTCTGGACTTGTGCTTCAAATTGCCGTCGGGCGCGGAGGAGATCGACGTGCCGAAGCTGACTTTCCACTTCGGCGGCGGCGCCGATTTGAACCTCCCCGGAGAGAATTACGTGGTGGCGGACAAGAGCTATGGGGTGGCGTGCCTGGCCATGGGCAGCGCCGACGGGATGTCCATATTTGGAAATGTTCAGCAACAGAATATGATGGTGGTTCATGATCTGGCCAAGGAGACCATCTCCTTTGAGCCAACAAATTGTGATCAGCTCTAAATCTTAGTTTCATAGTTTCATTGCATCAAACTATATTACACATTATACCACTCCTGGTTTGAGATTTTCAAATGAAATGAAATACATATGAAGCACAAAGTTACTATCCTAGAAATGATGGCTCACTTTTTCCCACACTCAAATTACCAAATCACTGGTTTGTTTGTCTACATAAGTACATATGCACCTGCAAATTTGACATTATGTATAATGTAAAGTCTAATGTATAATCAAGGGTTAACCCGATAGACCCAGCCAACACAATATATATGTCTATATAGGAAATCTTTCCGGTAAGGTATACCTTACCGGAAACGCCGTGCGGCCTCCGCGTTTTGAGGGGCTTCCCGGTGGAATTTTTCGATGAAATTTTTTGAGCATGTTCGTCATCAAGTCTAGTACATACATATCAAATTTCAGCAAAAAATTCAATCGGGAAGGCAGCCAAACGATGTTTGGAAGATAACTGCATTTGGAAAATAATGCAATCGGGGAGGTTGTCAAATGATTTTTTCAAGTTAACTGGTCCGGAATATGTATTTTCCGGACCAGTTAACTTGAAAAAATCATTTGACGACCATCCCGATTGAATTTTTTGCTCAAATTTGGTATGGATGAACTAGACTTGATGAGGAACATACACAAAAAATTTAAGCAAAAAATACCACCGGGAAGGCCCCCAAATGGAGGAGGCCGGACGGGGCTCCTGTCCGGAATTCCGGACAGGAATATGTGTGTGTGTGTGTATATGTATATATATATATATATATATATATATATATATATATATAATTTTTTCTTTTATCCTTGAAAGCAAACCACCAAAATCAGTGGAGCAAATGCCGGAGGAAACTGCCAGATATTTATTAAACATCAAAAGAATGTACATCGGAGAAGGACCAAACCAAACCTCTACAAAAAACAACGAATCTAAGTACAAACAAACTCAGCAAACAATATAAGGTAGGGTGATTCTATTTACAGCCCCCAATTTACTATTTACAGCCACCAAATTAAATAATACCCAATTTAACCTTCTACTTAAATCAGCCCCACCCTTCAGACCGTCCATACCAAGAGCCTCCATCCAAGTGCTTCTCATATCTACTACGTAGTAAGAACGAGTGAAGGGGCACATTTCCGAATGAGTATTTGAGCTGATCCGATCACTGGAAGAGTGCACTCCATCTGGAAGAGTGGAAGGAGAACAATCCCTCCATCCCTGTACAAACTAAAACCAATGTAAAAATTAATGAAATCTTGCTTGAAAATTTCCCTATGAGATACACCTATCTCCGTGTTAAGACTTTCTAATGCTCCCAGTTAAAATGTGTGCAATTAGATAAATAGTTTTAAAATTGATTTTCTTTATTATTTTTGATAATGTTATTTGTGCTTCATATTCTGTACCCGCCGAGTCATAGAACACCGCATAGAAAGCTCCAGCCTGAGTGTGCAGAAAGGTTTTAATTTATTGTCACTACTCAGCCTTCTTTTAGTTTGACTTTCAAATCATCTTGTTTAGAATTCATACTCAATTCTGACAAGTAGAAAGTAACTCATATCCGATAAAAGAGATGTTGATACTCCGGAGATGAACAACCGGATCGGCAATGGACGTTGACGAGCGACATCCCTCCGGTCCCCTTCAGTCAACTTGTTTGTGCCTACTGTTACCTACCGTAGGTGAAGTTCCTTCGTATGTTATCTCCGTTGCCATAACAGCCTTCAATCCCTCCCTGACTCAGATCAGCCAAATACGAGAACAATAATTATATTGCAAGGGTAAATTTGATATTTCAGTCAAATTAGTGGCTGTATTTAGTAATTGAGAGGCTGTAAATAGAACTGCCCTATAAGGTATGTCTAACTCGTCCAATTTAATAGAACCGCTAAGCTCCTTAGGTAAAATATTCCCAATCCGCCATGTAAAAGGCCTAATCAAGCCCAATTTTGCTACTTTCCTAGCTGATTTATTGACCCAGGCCGGACTATGATGGAAAGTCAGGCCCAAATTCCTGAAGCCCCTGTTCAAAATAGCTGAGTCCAACAAACAAAAAGAGGAAATATCAATTTCCACAACAGGAAAGCCAAAAGATTCAAATCACTACACCGCTTGTTTAAGCACTTCGTCTTCTCCAACATTCGAACCACTCAGAGGAAATCCGTCTGCCGCTACCATCGCTCCAGAATGGTCTCGCAAAAGAAAACCCGCAGTAGATTTGCCGAACTGCCTATAGATTATCCAGTTGAGCTTAACATTCGGTGTTAAGAAAACAGTAATAAGCCAACCTCCTTAGAAGCTTATCATTGGCCCAGCTCCATGCTAACATATATCTGCTTATCTGTTTGATTAACCCCTCTTTCTCCGGAATTGAGTCATTGAAGATGGAATCTCAATACGCCTTCCACAGATGCCATGCTATTACTCCAGGTAGAATGACTGTAAAAACCTTATCCATTGTTTTGCCAGAAACACTGATCCACCATTTCATAAGCTGTAATGTGATGTTCATAGCTTTTCCGCTTCCAGGTAAGAGAGAATTAGTGAAGAAGCCCCAAATTGAATCTGCCAAGGGTCATAAAAGCAGAATATGGTCTTGGGAGATGCTACTTTTTTTTTGCAGAAAGGCCACAGACGGATGAATAGCAGCAAAAGACTCCAACGTCTCAGGAAATGGTAGCCCTTTATGCCATAATCTCCACTAGAACACCCTAATTTGTGGCACCTGCTTCGGATGCCAGATATGGTCATTGACAGGACCCCCCGGAAGGCCTTAAAGCCTGATAAGCAGATTTAGTTGTAAATTTACCATCCTTTGTGTGTTTCCATTTAAAATAACTTTATCCAATTCGGCTACAAAAGTAAATTTAACTTTTTCTTTATTGCACAAAAAATTAGATATTCAATGAAGAAATTGACTCAATTGATACACTTTTCCCCCGCTTAATACTTCTGAAAATTTCTCCAAATTTTTGTGTGCGAATTCATCGAATCCCGCTGAAATATTTTCTCCCCCCATCTGCGGCAACCATCAATTACCATCTGCAACAGATGTTTCTGGCTACTAGAGGGGCTGGCAGAGGCCACCAACAAGTCATGGCAAGAAGCAACCGGAGGTCCACTCGGTCTCATATTCTCCTTCACGCTTCATCTTCTCCGTGCGATTAGGTATCCGCATGTCGGCATGGCTACTTACAATTGGTACAAATGTAATTTTTGCCGATCTGACCAAGAATATAAGTTGTTAAAACTTAATTAGATACTCCTATAATTTCCGATGCAGGTTCTTCTCAAACAAATTTGGATCGAAATCTTGGTTCCAGATTCGACCACATCTTCATTTTTCATCTGGCATATAATATCAACTTATCAGTATGTTAAAGCCTTAAAGGTTGATCTTTCCTTCATATGTGAAAGCCCTCAACCTTTTCGTAGCAAGAGAAAACTAACTTCAAGTTCCTTACTTGATTTATAGTTGTGATTGTGATGATAAAAGACCCATATTTCTGGCTCTCTTAGTCTTGCTTCTAAAATTACGAATAAAACCCTTGGTGAATTCTCAGCCACTATATATCGATGGATGCATTACTTATATTTTTTTTTTTACTTTTCACGTTTCAGATCTAAAATTGAAGAACTGCTATAATTTCTTTTCCATGCTCATTCCCCAATAGATTGGAGTTTTGCTACTTTGAAAGCTATACAACTTTTGGTTCTTCCGTTTGGGGATGGAAATACTCATCTTTGGCTTAAGTCTTGCATAAAAAAAAGTTAAGGTAATGCTATTTATATCTTATTTTTTGACCATTAATTGTGATATCAAATAAATATGCACTCACTAATAAAAAACCATTAAACTTTAATATATGTGGAACGCTAGAAAACTTTGATGTGTGTTTGTATATAAAAATCAATTAGCATACTAAATAAGTATAGGAGGATATAATTCTTCTCTGTGCAGTATTAAAGGTCTCAAAAGCCATAGACATTTATTTTTGTATGACTATGTTTTGATTTGTATGAACGATAGTTAGTACGACTTACCTATATGTGCAGTATTATGTTTGGCTCAACTAGGGAGTAGCATCTCAGAGTTTTTTGAATTATGTATCTCTCTTGCATATGCTTTTCTTTGGTCGATCAGATCACATTTCCTTTTCTGGTTATATTTGTGTAGAGTTATAAAGGTCTGCTTATCCACCGTGACCCTTTTTTGTCAAATAAATCAGCACATCATCTATTCATCTATGTATAATACCTATATTATGTTGCTGTGAAGCTTAAATATAGTAGTTACTGGTTACTATAATTAGTTTAAAAGTGGCTTGTCTTTGTATTTGCAAGATTGTTCCTGATTTTATTAAGAAACTTTTCCCTCGTGGCCTTTGGAGGTTGTTTTGTCACACTTGTACAACAAGAAGATCACACCTTTTAAAGTTATGTGTGCTGCTCTATTTCATACCTGTTTGGATATCTGTTAGGACTTAAGAATCAGGTTTCCACAACACCAGAACTATGTAGAAGTGTGGTCCGAATCAGCAAATTCTCTATTATGTAATTGTCAAAGAAACCAACTTGAGGGGTAAAATTGGACTGAATTGTTTTTTCATGATCGTTTTTACTTTATGTATAAAGAGCATTAGTTTATGATATCATGTAGCAAGATTCATCATTTATCAGTGAACAATTCTTAGGAAACCAGCATTATAGACACAGTTCACTTTATTTTTAAATTGTTATCCTCTAGCTAGCATAGCAACTTGCAGACTCCATATACTTTAATATGGTTAGGGCACTCTTTCACTTTGTATAAGCTACATTATATTTTCATTCAATTTTGTTTCTGTTTTATATCATATATTTTTGTTTTCGCTTTAGTACTCTCTTCTACTCTTAGTGGGAGTTTTAAGGTTTAGATGTAGTTTATTCATTGTCTCCAAGACTCAAACATCATATTAAGCATCACCGATTGGATGGTCTGCCATTTGCAGACACGTTGGTTTTGCCATTGCAAGGTAAGGAAGTCCCAACTAAAGTGCAAGAGTTTCCTTCACTTTTGAAACTGCTATGTAGGCGGAAATCAAATAAGTAGAGGATATAATTCTTCTTTCTGCAGTATAAGAGGTCTCAAAAGCCATACACATTGATATTTGTATGACTATGTTTTGATTTGTATGAACTGTAGTTAGTAACACTAATTACATATATGTGCAGTATTATACTTGATAGAGTATTAATTCTAGAGAGAAGTGAGAGCTAGAGAGAGAAAGTGAGCAATTATATTTCTCAATTGGGAAAGGAACCCCCCATAATTAGCCCCTTGGGGTCTATTTATAGGTAAAAATGTAGATTTGGGCCCCTAGCCTTGGGCTTAGGAGGCCCATTACAATAATCATGCCTTCTCTGGGCGAATAAAGGCCACTAATGGGCTGAGTACAACACTTAGTACAAAAAATAGGAAAATACATTCTGCCCGGACGAAGTCCGGACGATGCGGTCCATGGACGATGCGGTCCATGGACGATGCGGTCCATGGACGATGCGGTCCATGGACGATGCGGTCCATGGAAATCAGGCGATATCTTCTCTCTTGGACGCTACGTGCCTCTGGCCGATGCGGGTGTCCCGCTGGTGTCTTTTGGGCCATTGAGTATGTGGGCTATGGGGTCCAGGCCCATATACTCTATCAGGAGTCCCCCACTCTCTGAGCTGAGGTGAAGCCGAAGCGAAAGGGAGTACTTGTTCCTTTCTGGCTGGCCGTTGCGTGAGTCTAAGGCGTTTGATGGCCGAAGAGTTCTTGCTTTGATTTTGGATGAAGCGGTTCCCTTGTTTGATGTGGACGAAGCGCGTTTGGGAATTTATAGCCTTGATGCTGGCCGCTGCACTCTTTGTGGAAGTGCTTCTGAAGACGAGGCGATGCGCTTTTTCTTTTTTGTAGATGATGCGATGAATCCTGGTGGATAAGTTGGCATGCTTTCGTCCTCCTGTTGGGGCCGAAGAGCTCCCATCTATTCTTTTGGCCGTAGCGATGACATATTTTCATGAGATGGAGATGGTTGATTCCATTTATGTAGACGATGCGACGCACGCCTTTGATTTGTCATGTAGCCGAAGCGTTTGATTTGTGGGTTCTTGCTCTGGTGAGCCGATGCGGTCCCCCAGTGTGCGTAGCCGTTGCGCGCTCAGATTTTGTATTTTGGGTTTTTTCATTTTGGGCTCTGTGGCCGATGCGATCCGTGGTGCTTTCGGGGTGAATTGCTTGTCTCTTGTTTATTGGTGAGCCGTAGCGCATCCTGTTCGCATTAAGGCCGTTACGTTTTCTTTCCACGTAACCGATACAGTCCCCCAGTCCCCCACTCCTTTGGCCGAAGAGCATCTGAGGCACAAGGGAGTAATGAGCCGATCCGGTACCTATGCGTTAGTCGTGACTCCAACCCTTAGGCGAACCTGTCCAAGGTAACCCTGTGGGAGAACCCTTGGACGAAGGCCGCAATGCCAGGGTTATCATCGACGATGCGCGCACAGTGCCAGGTCTATTTAAGGTTCCTTGGGTTGTTGTGAGGAAGTCGAGTTTAGGCCGATGCGTCCCTTATTTGGGAGAATGGGCCGGTGCCTGTTTTAGAGCTTTGTAGTAATTGGGCCGTAGTGGTACTCGGCCGATGCCCTTCTTTTTGTAAGGATGAGTTGGGCCGTAGGGGTGCTTGCATGAGTGATTTTGAATTGATACCCCGTCATTGGTCGGAAGAGAGGCGACCGTTGGTGGAGCTAATGGGATGGTGCCACGTGTAGTGACCGTTGGAAGGTCTCTATAAATACCCCCTCATCCCGAAGCCGTTTCCTCATTTGCATTTGCTGTTGTCGAATTGCTGCCGAGATTTCTAGAGAGATAAAGTGCTTCCCAGAAATTTTCAAGAGTTCTTCGGATCTTCACCCACTCCAAGGTTAGGTTCTTGAATTGTTCTTCCTTTTTCCTTTATACTTTGCTTCCTAGGGGGTTAGATCTAGTGTTTCTAGGAAAAATCACTTTGATCCTCGAACAACCCTTAGGACGTAGCATAGTTGTTATGCCGTTCCCTGACGGCCGTAGCGTCCCCTCCCCTCTTAACTTAACAGCTTCTTTAGACGAGTCGGACTGGCCTTTTGACGACGAGGACCCGTCTCCTGGGGTGAATCTTGAGATAGTTCGAGCGTTTGAAACAGAGATGGAGAATACTGCCGATTACCGCACTTCTCAGGACGAGGACCGTCTGAATGACGATGCGGGTTCCCAACAATCGGGCGAGGACGAGGCGAGCTCGGAACCCAAGCTTCGGGGAGACGAAGCGGGTGATGCCTCTTCGGCCGCCATCCCCTGCCCTCCACCTATTTCGTCTGTGCCAGGTGGGGCGTCGTCTTCTAGGGTTACCAAGGAACGCGCGTCGCGTCGGAGGAAAGCTGCGGCTGGTGGGTTGTCCCAATTGGACTTAACAAATCTGTATGTCATAAGGCCCGAGGGCACCCGAGGGGACTATCATTTGGCTCAGCTGTATGTTGGGCCTTATGGAAAGGTGAGGGAGCCGAGGCCGACGGACCATGTTCTGAATCCTCCTCCTGGGTACTTCGGGGTTTATCCGATGGGGTTCTCTCAAGGATTACGATTTCCGCTGCCCCCTTTTGTGATTGAGTATCTGAATATGGTGGATCTTCCCCCAGCGCTGTTGACCCCGAATAGTTTCTCACTGATCGTCGGGTTCCTCATCCGATGCGACGAGCTGGGTTTTGAGCCCACGACGGCGCTTTTCACAAATTTGTTCCGGATCGGCCGAGGGAGCCATAAGAATTGCGCTGGTTATGCTACGCTTCAGCAACTCCCGGAGAAAAAATCTTTCAAAGACCTCCCTTCGTCTATCCATGGGTGGAAGGCGAAGTTTGTATTCGTGAAGTTGGCCGATGGGGTTTTCTTTCCTTCGCAAGGGCATAACGGTAATTTTAGCCTGCATAATCCGCCACGAAGCGCTGAGCTCGATGCCCAAGTTGAGGCATTCCTAAAAGGTGGGCCGAGGAGTGTGAACACGTACATTACTGAGTTCAAGATTGCGGCTCTTGGGATGATGCGGTATTACATTCCTGGCGACCCGGATTGTGGATTGTGGCCTAGGATTTCTGGCTCTTTTGAACAGGCCGATGGGCCACTTCTTGGGATTCCGGCCGAGGCCGAAGGTTGACACTTGCCTTTGAATCTTTTTGTACTTGGTATTTTTGTTGTGACTAATCCTTTCTTGTGGCGTCGTCCTTGCAGGTTACGAGATGAGTCGCAAGATGTTCATGGCTCAGGCCAAGAAGCAGGTTGCAAAGGAGCTGGAGGCTGCCCAGCGAGCCGAGGCGTCCAAGGGTTCTGGCGACGGCTCTAAGGGTATTGCTGATGCGGCAAAAAAGCCTGTGGTGAAGAGGAAGAAGGCTGCCGAGGGGCAGCGTACTCTTACTGAGACGGGTCTGGTGCCGGCTGAAGGCGCCAAGAAGACGAAGCCGAACCCTCCCCCCAATGACGCTGCTTTGGCCGACACGCAGGCATCGGTCCAAGGGGGAGCTGCCTCTGATGTGCACATCATCGAGGATCTGACGTTGAACGTCGCCTCGTCCTCCCTAGTTCCTGCTAAGTCCGGGGCTGCTGCAAAGAAGAGTGCCCGCGCTGACCGAGACCTGACCTCCGGTCTTTATGAGGTGACGGTGCGGTATCTGCCGAAGGGCGGTTTATTCAACGAGAAGGTTTCCGGGCACGACGTCTTGTTCCAGGCCATTCCCGATGCCGATAGGGAGTACCTACGTCGGCAGAGCAAGGATGTGCGCCTCTTTGATGGTGGATTGGACTACGTCGTCCAGGTAAATATCTGACTTGGTACTTAGTAATTTTTGTGTTCCTTCTTTTTCTAATGTTACATGTTTCTGTAGGGTGCCTTTATGCTCATGGAGCAGCAGCGGCGGCAGGACGAGGAGCTTGCTCGCCTTCGCGAAGCTGAGAAGAAAGCCGCCTCTGCAGACGAGGCGCTGTCCCAGTTGGAGCGGCTTCGGGCTGAAACTGGCTCCTTGAAGGAGAGGGCCGATGCGGCTGAGAAGAAAGCCGTTGCTGCCGAAGACGAGGCGAAGCGCCTCAAGGTTCAGTTGGACGAAGAAGCGGCTGCCCGTCGGCTAGCAGAGGAAAGAGCCGCGAAGGTAGAAGCCGATGCGGCTGCGGCTGCTGACAGAGCCGTGGGGGTCTTCATGGCCGAGGGTTGGAAGGACGAAGCCCGACGCGATTGGACTTTTAACGTCATGGCGGAGCGTTTCGAGGCGTGGTCTCAGGAGGAGGCTGGCCGAGCCCGCCTGAAAGAGGAGTTTGAAGTCTGGTACGACCTCGGCCAGAGGCGTATGCAGATGTTGGTTTACCGCCGCCTCCGCCGGCGTGTAAAGAACCTGAAGCCCAGGGGTATCGGCCTTCCCCGGATGATGAAGGACCCCGAGGAGGAGCTGAAACTTCCTGTGTCCGAAAGGCAGCCCCCCATCTTGAGCTCGGATGAAGAGGACGAGCCCTGGACCGAGAGTGATGATTACCTCTTCCGGACCTCGACCAAGTCAAAAAATACTGAGGATGAGCAAGACGATGCGGACAGCGGAGCCGTCGAGGGTGGCCAAGGACAAGCTGCTTAGTGTTTCTTGTACTTAGTTTTCTTTCCTTATTTGTAGTAGTAGTCTTTGATGGCCGAAGCGCCCTGATGATTGTAATGGCCGAAGCGCCCTCCTTGTATGATTTGAATTATCAATTAAAGATCTCTTTTTGTCTAAGTATAGATGTTTTGTTGCTCCGTCTTCATAGCTTTTTTTTTTTTTTTGAAGTATGAATTTTTAGTGTCGTATCGTCTCTGTGCTCCATGCTTTATAAGTTTCATCTTCTTCAAATTCGGCTAAGTGTTTGCGAACATACTTCGGTTGGTTGGGACGAAGCGTTCCTTCGGTGTCTCAAGGGATATGCGTCCCTCGTCAGAGATGATGAGGTGGTTTGCTGTTGTGGCATCTTCAGACGAAGCGCGCGCTCCTGATGGTGGTTCAGGGCCGCATCCCCATCTTCACCGCATTGTTTTTGTGTACTTTCTAATCCTCGCGTTTTTTTTGCTGAGTGTCAGTTCCATACATCCGTGTTTGGTTGAGACGATGCGCTCCTTCAGCAGTTGTAAGAAGGACTTCAAACGCCTACCTGTGTTTGGTGCAAGAAAGCCCGGATGTTTCTTGATATTTTTCCAAGTACCATGGCCTCTTGAAACGTGGCGCTGCGTCGTTATGCGCATCGGCTGCTGGTTTGATTGGTACTTTGGAAGGCTTGGGGGATGCTAAGTACCAAGGAATTGTTTTGCTTGGGTTCGTCATTTGGGTTTTGCTTCGTGGAGACGATGCGGCCCATCGTCCAAGTAACGGACTGTGGTTTTGTATAACCGAAGCCGAAGCGATTCCCCTTTGTGACGCTATGGTTGAGGCCGAAGCGTGCACTTCGGATCCCTGTATAGTGAAGACCTGATATGTACTTAGCCAAATTTGATGCTTTGGTTTTTGTGGGGATTTTGTTTTTATGCTCGAGGCCGGCGAGTGCACGGTCCGTCGGCTTCCCTCTTTTTCTTTTTTTTTGTGGCCGAAGGGTTACTGTCCCTTCGTCTATGTGCGGTAGTTTGCCCGCTACGCTCTTCGCGTGAATTAGTGCGAGGGAGTAAATACGCCCTCGGCTTGGTGTGTCAGTGGCATCCTTTTTTGGCCTTTCCACGTCTATCGTCGACGAGGGACCGGACAAGGCATCGTCTTTCGACGGCCGCCCTTTGTGGTCCTGAGCGAAATTTTACTGACGGGTGGAGTTTTTGTAACCTCAGCCTTAATTCAGGCCTGTCGTCCTGCGGTTTCCGCGCGGACGACGCGGTATGCTTCTCCGTTTGAAGACGTTGGACCATGCACACAGGTCCTTCGTCCTGCATATCGCCGGCCGATTTGGGTGTTTCACCGCTTGTGCCGATACGATATTTAGGGGCGTTGTTTATTGCAACGGCTTTTAGGTCGCATCGGACCCGGGTGATTACACCGCTTAGGCCGATGCGGTCCTTGGGTTTCTTTTGCTCAAATCTTAAAAGATTGGATGAAACATGAATTTTATTCAGTAAGTGGCTCTAGGCCGAGGGTGTTTTATTCGACCAATAAGCCGAGGGGTGGGGGACGTTTGCCCGCTTCACCACTTCTCGAGTCATTGGTAACATTTCACCATGTGGTGTACATTCCACAATCGTGGTACATCTGACCCATTAGGGTTCTTTAGTTTATAAGTGCCGGCTTTGATGAAGGCGCTGACGATGTAGGGCCCTTCATATTTGACGGCGAGCTTTCCTCCTTCCGTCGGCTTGCTTGCTTCCCTTCGGCGGAGGACGTAGTCCCCCACTTGGAATTCGCGAGAGCGGACTTTGGCGTCGTAATAGGATTTGACTTGTCGTCTGTAGTTCTCCGCTCTGAGGTAGGCCATTTCTCGTCTCTCGTCGATGAGGTGTAGGTCCACCTTCATTGTTTCTTCGTTGGCTTCGGGATCGTATTGTGTGACGCGTCGGCTAGGAAGCGTCACCTCAGTGGGAGCCTTGGCTTCAAAGCCATAGCACAAAGAGAATGGCGTCTCCCCAGTGGCCCTCCTCGGAGTAGTTCGGTAAGACCATAGGACGTTGGGGAGCTCGTCGACCCAACTTCCGCCTTCTTCCTCGAGTTTTTTCTTCAGCCCCTCCAAGATGGTTCTGTTGGCGTTCTCAACTTGCCCGTTGGCCTGAGGGTAGGCAACGGAGGAGAAACGGTGCTTGATGCCCCACTCTTGGAGGAGGCTTTGGAATGGTTCGGCCTCAAACTGGGTGCCGTTGTCTGATATGATCTCTTGAGGCACGCCGAAGCGGGTGAGGATGTTCTTGTAGACGAACTTTCGACACCGCGCTCCAGTGATGCTTGCGAGTGGTTCGGCCTCGACCCATTTGGTGAAGTAATCGATGGCGACGATGATGTATCTGTTGTTGCCCGCGGCTCTTGGTAGTGGGCCGACGAGGTCGATGCCCCATCTGGAGAATGGGATGGCAGTGCTGACCGGGGCGTAATTGACGGCTGGTCGGCCAGGTGCCCTTTGATAGTGTTGACATGCGCTGCATTTGCGGGCGACCTCAGCACAATCACGCGCCATCGTCGGCCAGAAGTAGCCTTGGACGACGAGGCGGCGCGACATGCTGAAGGGCCCCTGATGTGATGAGCATACGCCGCAGTGGACTTCTTCCATGGCCACTTCGGCCTCATTCTGGTGTAGGCACCGGAGGAGGGTGCCGTAGTATGATCTCTTGTAGAGCTTGTCACCCTCAATGACATAGCTTGGGGCCCTGAGCTTGGCTAGTTTGGCCCTCTCCTCGTCCTCTGGTAGCGTGCCGGAGGTGATGTAGGTTGCGATGTCAGTGATCCAATCCTCCGGCTGGTGTTGTATGGAGAGTATGGGGCTAGCGTGAATGCTCGACATGCTCAACTCCTCCACCTTAGTTATCTTGGAGATGTGCTCAGGGGTGTCGGAGCTGAGTTTGGAGAGGATGTCGGCCTCGGCGTTCTCCGCCCTTGGGATCTGAGTGATCTCGTAGGTATCGAACGCCTTGAGCAATTCCGCAGCGGCCTCCTTGTATTGCTTCATCCTCCCTTCTTTGGCCTCGTAGGAACCCTCCATTTGGCTCACTACGAGTTTGGAGTCGCATTTGATTCTGACGTGGCGTGCTTTAAGACCAGCGGCTAGTCTTAGTCCGCTGAGGAGCGCTTCATACTCAGCCTCATTGTTGGATACCTTGAAGTTGAAGCGGATGGCGTAGTACGCTCTGAATCCTTCTGGGGAGATGAGGACGACGCCACCCCCACAAGCTTTGGTGGTCGAGGACCCGTCCGTGTAGAGGGTCCAGGCTTCATCTGGTTCAGCCCCTGTGGTGGTGACGGCCGTTTCCCTTGCCGTGCACTCGGTGACAAAGTCAGCCAAGGCTTGCCCTTTGATGGATGGCCTCGGCTTGATCTCAATCTGGTACTGGCTTAGGAATATCGCCCATTTGATCATCCTTGGAGAGCTGGTTGGGCTCCTCATGAGGGCGCCCAGCGGCTGATTCGTGAGGACATGGACGGGGTGAGCCTGGAAGTAGTGTCCAAGTTTTTTCACCGTGTGGACAATGGCAAGCACCGTCTTCTCAATAGGGGAGTACCTGAGCTCGGCCTCCCGCAACGTCTTGCTGACGTAGAAAATTGCTTTTTGCACCCCGTCATCCTCCCTGATGAGTACGGAGCTGACGGCCGACGTGCTTACTCCCAAGTAAAGGAAGAGAGTCTCGCCGGGCTGGGGCTTGGATAGGACGGGTGGGGAGGCGAGATATTGTTTCAGCTCCTCAAAGGCTTGCTGACACTCCGTCGTCCATTTGAAGCTGGTGGCCTTCCTCATTATCTGGAAGAAGGGGAGCGACTTCTCCGCGGATTTTGAGAGGAAACGGTTCAGGGCCGCGAGGCGTCCCGTCAGTCGTTGTACCTCCTTTATGTTGCGGGGTGGCTCCATGTTGATAATGGCTTGTATTTTCTCCGGGTTCACCTCGATGCCCCTTCGACTGACCAGGTACCCCAGGAATTTACCTCCCTGGACGCCGAAGGTGCACTTCTTTGGGTTGAGCCGGAGGTTGTATCTCTTCATGATCTCGAAGATGCCCCGGAGGTCGTCGGCATGAGTTGTGGATTGTTTGCTCTTGACGATCATATCATCGACGTATGCTTCCATCGTCCGACCTAAGACTGCTCTAAAAACCCGGGCTACCATCCTTGTATAAGTGGCGCCGGAATTCTTGAGCCCAAAGGCCATGACGAGGTAGCAAAAAATTCCCTCCGGGGTCATGAAAGCAGTCTTCTCCGCGTCATCTTCATGCATGGATATCTGGTGGTACCCTCTGAACGCGTCGAGGAACGACATCAACTCGCACCCCGCCGTCTCGTCCACCAACTGATCAATGTTGGGGAGAGGGAATGGGTCCATTGGGCATGCCTTGTTCAGGTCAGTGTAATCAACACACATTCTGAACGTGGGCGGCTTTGGTGCGAGGACGACGTTCGCCAACCACGTGGGGTACTTCACCTCTTTTATGTGCCTGATGGAGAGCAGCATGGCCACCTCGGCCTTGACAAATTCCCTCCTGTCGGCCGAGAGGTAGCGCTTCTTCTGTTTGATGGGGGAGGAGGCCGGGTTCACCGATAGTCGATGTGTGATTACCTTTGGGCTGATGCCCGGCATGTCCTCCGGTCCCCATGCGAAGACGACGGCGTACGCTCTCAGGACAGACAGGATGTCCCTTCGAATCTGTTGGGGGAGCTGTGTCCCAATCTTCAGCATGCGTTCCGGCCGGGAGACGTCCAACGGAACATCTTCCACGTCTCCGACCGGTTCGGCCTTTGGTGTGTTTTCTTCGGCCGAGGCGGTGGTGATGGTGTCTATCCGCTCCTCGGCTTCATTGATTTTCCTTGTGAGCTTCAGGTAGCAAGCCCTGGCTATCTTCTGGTTCCCTCTGGCGTAGCCGACGCCGTCCTTGGTGGGGAACTTGAGGCATAGATGTCTCATGGAGATGATGGCCTCAAGGTCCTCCAAGGCCGGTCGTCCCCAAATCATGTTGTGGGCGCTGTCCAGGTTGACAACCACGAACTCCATGTCAATCTTCGCCTGACAGGTACCGTCAC